TTCGAGAAGCAAATTTTGGGTAAGGGTTCTTTTTATTGATTCAGTTAAAGTGAGTTAAATTTTCTTTATAATAATATAAATCATTTTAATGTGATAAGTGAACATTAAATTACTTCTGTACCTATAGCTTCTTAATTTATAATTTAATTTGGTACCAAAATACATAATTTCCCACTCAAAAAATGTAATTTCCGATATCTGCATTGCATGAGTATATATTTATCCTCAACGTTTCACATGTAAGCGTCAAAACTGTTATTACTCTGTAAACAATGTGTTCCTTATTTTCTGATTTATATTCTTAGTATCTGAACTCACAGAACTGCATTAATACGGATTCATGTACTTTGAAACAGGAAGCATCTTGCTTTGTCCAGTCAATTCTGGGCATCCCTGATATCTAGTGTGTTTAGTGGAGACTGGTTATCACTTCTAACACTGTAACGCAGATCTAGAGGCTGGTCCTAGATTTATAGGGACCACTTATATTGTGACAGCAGGGTCATTAAATCTGTAGCAGGTCTGGGGTCATTCGAACACTCGAAAACTCTAACTCTCACATACAAGGGTAATCCAAGCTACTGACATTTGACTATGAATGTTAGTTTATCAAATGTTATAATACAACCAGGGAAGAGAGCGATTTCTGTGAATGGAAATTGTGAACTTTCCATCTGACTTCCTGCCTTATATGGGCAGTGGGAGACCTGATTCTGCCGCGTGGTGTTAATTCAGATTCGACAAAACAGGGCAACTCGTCGCAGGTTGACGAGAAATAATTGAGTTGTCACTCTTATCCTGGGTTCATGTCGGCTCGAACTCTGTCTACTTGAACTTTGACCATGTGCCAATTGCAGTTTCGTCTGTACCGGCTTCAGACAGCAGGAGAGGTTTATTCTGAATTAGTTTCGTTTACAAATCGCGTGGTTTTAACATCTGTTGAAAATATTCTGTTTCTTTCATAATATGAAAAGTCGAATGATACAATGATAAATTTAAAATGACTGTGACACTTTCAGGACATTATCTGGCCGTTATGTCTTGTGAGACTACGGGAAATCGCGATAACTTCGATTAGGTTCAGCCGGTCTCCGAGACGAAGGGACTTTCCTAAAAAGCCCGGGATTCTAACGGCTACACCAAGAAGCTCTGTCGATCACCAGGTACCTTATGTCCGGGGAAAATGTTACGCTTGGTGTTGAACGCTTTCGGGAAATAGCCTGCTTTTACACTAGTAAAGATTACGTAGAAAGACATTTAAGTGACCTTTAAGAGAAGAAGTGTTTGAACGTGTCATAGACTGGATTCATCTGACTTGTTAGGTACCAGGGCTGTTGTGAACATGATAATGAACATTCAGAGTTAAGTAAAAGGAGGGAAACGCTAAGTAACCACAGCTTAAAAACGACTTTGCTTCAACGACTTATCGATAAAAAGAAAAGCTATTTACTGTGCTGTGTGAAGCCAAGTTTGGTGTTCACAGACCAACTTAGTAACTTCCATCCAGTACCCAGGCTAAGAATGTGCGAAGCTATTCCTCTACGCCCTAATACGTCTTCAGTGTGTGGTACATACATGAAATCTTGCAGTTTGTAATTTCTTCACTACATATAACTTCAACGACTCACAAATTCTACTTTACCACATTTGGTGGATATAACCACTCGCACTACAGCCAGTCTTGGCAACATTTCAGCATATAAATTACACATGTCGCATTGCAACGCTACCAACATCGCACCAAACTATCCATCTGAGTCGCCATCTTTTATTTTGTATTTTATTTGAAACATTGAGAAAATTAATATTTTTAAAATATCTCTCAGCATGTGGCCAAGTGGTTAGAATTCCAGCATTAAATTCTGGGAGCCCTCATTTTAAATCTCGGCCCAGAGACCGGTTATCTTTACTGGGTGTTTCGCTTAATCACTCCCTCGAGAAAAATGGGGCGACAGTAACTTTAATTGAACTATGGCCGCTTACTTTCATATACTTACCAATTCATTCTTCATTTATTATCCCACATTAGACGCAAAAGTCTGAGCTTCTGACCATAAGCAAGCATCTACATGGAACGGAGTCCTGTTTAACAAATTAACAGTACACTCAAGAAATTCCCCGTCTTTTATGAAACACGAACGTTCATTACCGTGTTCGCAAAATCTTACTACTAGTTCCTATAGTGAGACAGATGAATCCAACTAAGATTCTAACAGTATCCTCCCATCTACGCAGGTCAAATAAGCCATACATAAATAAAAATAAGCCCAATGTTGCCAGTTCTCCTCACACTTAAGAGATTCGGATGACCACCAATGACGGTGGAAAAAATTTAAAAGTGCCGAAATTGAGTGGCCTTCAACTGCGTAACATTCACAGAGAGTTTCAAGGAAACCGTCCAATTAATCACTACAATATTCATGTCTGTAATATGGTCAGGGATAAGAGGTGGGAACAGAAACTTAATGAACTATTCACCACATCAGATAAACATTCAACGTTTGTAAACTATCTATCGACGCTTGAAGTCAAGACAGTTAATTCTGAGAAGACAGTTGCGGAATCTGACGTCAGAACCTTCCAGTGCTTATTTTATCTGTTCTTCTTAGCCCACTGATCTTTTTCTGCTCTTGGACTTAAGCTCTTATTGCGTTCTTGATGGGCTGAGCTCGGAGGGTTTGGAGTGGTCATATAGCGGTTTGTGTCGAGGTTACACCAATCACACGTCTGATATATACAGTTGAATTTCATCTCTCTTAACACTCAGAAGCCGACGCTCGTCTAAATAACATTTCAAGATTTACTTCCTCCCGCAAAGAAAATATAGCCTCCATGACAACGCTCAACTGGTTAATGCTGTTGAAGAAAATAATAGCGGTTTGCACAAAGAATCATACGAAACCCATAAATCCCGATACAGCAGACGAACTGAGTTCATGCCTAAGTCGATTTGGACACTGACTTTATAAAATCCAAAGTTCATCATCGTTCTCACAAAAGCCAGCCACTTCTCCCTGTACTGATTTCATTTCAGTTCGGACTGTACTCTTCTGGCTTCTCCACCTCTATCTGAAGCTGAAGCTGAACCGTTTCTCCTAAACTTACGTATCCATCTTCAGGACTACATGTCATCACAAGTCACAACAAAATTTACATTTTCACGATAAAACCTCCGATCTTATTCAGTTCAGTTAATTTTCTCGTTTCAGTCTTTTCTGCACATTAAATTATTATTTTCTCTTATCAGTAAATTCTTCCAAAAACTGTTCGTTTGTTTGTTATATGCGTGCTACGTTCCCTGTCCATCTCATCCTTATTTTCCGCCCTAAGACTAGTAGCTGAAAAGTATACTTTATCCATTTCTGTAAATATGTCAGTAAGCTAGGGGCATTCATAAGTCGCGTACTTTTCGTGACAGACTAGCTACTATACTAGTTATCAAACCTTAAGCCATGGTCACAGTTCAATATAAAATAAAAGAACGTAAATGTACGTAGCTCGCCATGTCTGTATCAAGTGCAATGCTGTCTCTACTGGGAAACTACTGCCGCTCTGTGGCAGGATACAGTACTAAATGATGAGTACAACTTTCTTAATTTATTGACACCCAGCATATCGACTTCACCTGATTCTAAAGTTACAGCTCGGATCGTAAAGAACATATAGTGACCACTTTGGCGGATTTAACACACATAGAAACGGCTACTCTGTACTCGTAAAAGTCATACCTTTAGTTACAGACACTCAGTGGCACGTGTGAAAGAAGTTTGCATTTGTTTGCTTTGCGTCTAACAGATTTATATGCAGTGGTCTGCCTGTGTTTTAAAGCTGACATGTTAAGATAGTATTTTATATTGTAAACTGGATAGTGTGAAAGGTTTTATTTTATTCTTCACATATGTGCAAGAAATTTATATAACAAGTAAAATGTAGGTTACCAGGATGAAACTGGAATTTATTTTAAAAAGATGATTCTAGCTACGTAGAAACTTCTAACCGCATAACGGAAATGAAGTGTCGTATAAACCGTTCATGCTCTGAACGAACAATTGCTCTGGTCGAGCCTTTGAAGACGGAGAAGAAGGGACAATAGTCAAGGTAAAGAAAAATCTTAGAAGGAAGACAATTCTGGCGAAAGGAAAACAGTCTCTATTTTCATAATTCGCTGCACAAATCCACGGTCAGACTGAACCAGTTCTTAATGACTTTACTAGCCCCAGGTATTGCTGTCTGCCTCCGCCATTACAATTTTCGGATTGAGTCTGCCATTTTTGGTGCTATCATGAATAATTAAAGAGGCGGTGAAGTCATAACTAGGACAGTAATGCCAATGTAACATAATACACTTTCCGTCGACTTACATGTCGCATTCATAATGGGTTTTTTTTTACAGAGGAATCACTTTTTCAAGAACCACTCTCTATACGCAGTTAATATAATTCATATTTCTACAGTCTATAGGATTTTATTTTCATCTCTTGTCGGAAATCCCTAGGATTTAGAGGGAATAATTATGGCTACTGTCTTCCAACATATCGCATGCGTTCACATTAATTTCGTAATTATTAAATTATCAGTCATTTATAAAAGTAACAAATCCACTTATTAATCACGTTAAAGGTACAAGAGTTTATTAAATTATGCTCAGAAACGAGGAAAATATTCAAGATTAATACGCTTAAATCTTATCGCAGATTGAACAAGTCTTGTTCAGCTATATCAGCTAGCCGAGAATTACTTTTCTCCATGGAGTTATCCAATTATCAAGTGTTATTCCAAAAATTTTATGAGATTCCAGAAGACATTAACTCCTCTAACGCCTGAAGGAAGCTGAAACAGAATTCTAAAATGTTATTTAGATTTAAAGGGTTGAGATGTATAAAAATCCCGGGGTTCTTTGTCCAGTGACCACTGCACGCTTCCTCGAACCTGGACCCGCCGCGTGGAGTAATGTAAATGCAACATCTGACAACTGTCAGTCACACAGACAGACAACTAACCTTTACTCAGCTCGCTGCCAGCACAGTTCCTCACAAGGCCGTTAGCTTGCCCTAGTTGTTACGTGGTAGACGCAAGAAACGCTCCAGAGAAAGCAGTTCTGGATAACATTGTTCTGTCTTCAACCCCTGAAACCCGAAGCTCGTCTAAATAACATACAAGAATACAGTCCGTACTGCAAAGAAAACACAACATTTCACCATTACAAAAATAAATGTATTTCGATATTTAAGGAAATAATCGCTGTTTCCAGTTAGAAATACACGAAACCAAAAGCACTGTGTGAACTAAATGCTGATTTACCGAATGTTAAAGCAGGTGATACATATAATTACCACTGAGACTTAAAAGCTTTGAGTGTCAGCATTAAAAGAACTAATGAATTCATAATTCCGCTGAAGATTCAGAAAGCATTTCTGTAAAACAATGAGATAAAATTGAATGATATTTCTTGATGTATTAATAATCGAATTGAAATATTTCGGTTTTTATTGCTAACGATTATACTCAGCGACTTTGTCATTGGCTACTCAATAAGCATACAAGAAATTAACACAAAATTGTTCTATGGAAAACTTTTCTAAAATCAGTCAAATGTAACGCTGACCACGAAGCATGTAATGCAGGCCTATGTACTGACTGAAAACGAAACGGAAGATAGAGGCAGTATGTTCCTCTAAAACGTTAGTATCTCTGTTTAAAAGTCTACACGTCGTTACAACCCAGAAGACCAACATCGACAACAAATATTTGTTGGTAACATTGTTCCCAACATGTTTTTCTCTACCTTATACATTTTCTGGGGGTTAAATTTTGGGACTTCAAAATCATTATCATGAAGTTGTACTCGACGGTTTCTATATATGAATGACCTCGAGTAATACAATGCTTGCTGAAAGTACGACATCATCCGTAGGTCCATGTTGTTTGAGTGGATTCTGGTTCAATGGGCCCAGGATGAGACACAAGCTAATTCAATAAAATAAAGAACTCGCATTATTCTTTATATTCAGACTATGCATTTAACCCCTTCACTGCTTCATTCTTATAAATCTTCCAATATTCAAGAAAAACATCAGCTACGTTTATGGTTTTTCACAATAAAAATTCAATCTAGATTCATCAAACAGTTTGGCAGATAACACATGCATACGGAAAGACATAACCTCCACATATGCCTTATTTTAAGTATTTCGTACAAAAAAAAATATAAATTATGGGTTTTATTTTGTTACACCCCAAAACCATGTATGATTTGAGGTTTTCACAGCGGTGAGTATGAAGATTTCCGTCTTCTGGGTTGTTGCGCTGTGTAGTCTGGTCGATGTTAACCAACGTTTCAGAGGTCATACTGCCATCTCATACCCATCGCCCTGATGACGGAGGCAGTATGACCTCTGAAACGTTGGTTAACATCGACCAGACTACACAGCGCAACAACCCAGAAGACAGAAATCTTCATCCCAAAACCAGTTGAGTGACGTTCCTTGTTTACCGCATTTGTTACACCCTTAAATCAGCTGAGTGAAGTGGTTTATAGGTAACATTTGTTACACCCCTAGTCCAGCTGCAGAACCGCATCTTGATTCTCGGACGTTCTCAGCTGTCCAAGGGCGAAGCGTGTAGGACACTGTTCCAGTCGACCGCGCCTAACCTCCGCCTCATTAGATCTGCCACTTTTTAAACGTCCTTCACATATTTTTCGTCTGTGCATGAAGGTTGAATCTTTCGATACATTTTGACAGTAAACGATGCAAATGTTGTCTTTGGCGACCACAGTGAAACCAAAACATATGCAAAACAATATTACAAAATGATTGCTCGCCGTCTTATGGACGTTGCTCCGTTTAGTCTCATAGGTACTGAACGACGTTTCAAAGACGCTTACTGCCTCAATCAGCAGTGCAATTAGATGATAGATGCAGTAAGCTCCTATCAAACGTCGGTCAATATCTACCAGACTAAAGTGCGTAACAATTAACGCTCATCGCCCTGAGAAATATAAATCTCCCTAAAGCTATCTTAGTTACTCATTCACCTTGCACTGCAGCTGTTATCCACTGCAACTTCAACATCTTTATTTCGGGTATTTATCTTTATCTTTGCCTATGCTGACAGGAAATTGGTATGTTGATTTCCGAAATATGAAACTTTATAGTTTAGATATTATTTTCACACCTCCAGGACGTCCGTCAGACTCATCATCAATATTTCATGCTTGCATTTGCGTGGATTAATGACAGTGCCGCGGGTAACACTTTGAAGCACTTAGAATATGACATACAAGTCTCCATAACTCATTAATTTTGAAACTGCATTGGAAAACGTCAAAATATATTAAAATATTTTGCTAGACAATGTTAGAACTACACTGCACTATCAGCTGTTATTGTATCTGCTTCGGTGGGCTGAGACTATGTGGAACTGCTGCAGCTAACGATCCCTTTGTCCAACCCCCAAATGACACATGAATATGTAGTAGTGGTGGAATTATACTGACAAGGGTAAACCCCAGGACTTGGAGAATAATCAGTCCCAATGCCACTTCGTCCATCACTAATCCCATATGGAGTGATTTAGGCGCAAACCCGGGCCTCCGAGATGAGAAGTAGCCGACTAACCGCCTGAGCTTCGACATGGCCATTCTGAACACTTACTTGTCCTTCGCTCTTCTCTGTCCGTTTAAAATGGACAATCACAGAAACCTAATTAAGATACGGCAACTTACAAACAGTTGAGTGTAAGCACTGTGATTTTACACCCAACGGTTGGGTACTCAAGCGTCAAAAGTCTTCCACCGCCTGGCTGCCCAACCAGCTAAACAACTGACAGTCTGCAAGATAATTAATAAATAGTTCGCAGTGGTTATAACGAGGCACTACAGTACAATGTATTCCTATCTTAGATTAGCTAATTTCTAAATTTAAAAAAATCTGTACGGCGAACGAGTTTTTATCACACGTAAATAAAGAACGTCTTTTTAACAGACTACCTAAAGACCTTGTTCTTAGCCAGGGTTAATTTCCTCACAGAATTGAATCCTAAACTAAAAATTAAATTGCTTGAAATTTGAAGTTCTCACGACGGGGAAGATGTTTATGTTGGTCTTGTAAGCTTGTCTTGTGAACTCGGACGTAGAAACCAATATTTCATAAGATCGTAGTGTCTTCACTTTCAATTTGTTATATTCCCCCAAAACATCGGTATATACCTATCTAAACGCCGTGACTCTCAAGAAAACAAAATAGACAGTTAAATTATTTGTTTCATCAGAAATATCATCATCAGCAGTATCAATGTAGACCTAAAAGACCTATTCTGTTCACACAGAAATACTTCAGAATATTAAAACGTGTCTTCCCATCGACTTCTCGGGCGTCCAATGTCATAAGAAATATGAAGGTAAGAAAAAAAAACCAGTACATAACTTAAAATATACATGTCACCTATAGGCCTACATTTTATTTGCAAAAGTATATCATGTTCTGAACGGTTAAGTTCTAGGCATAACAGAATTAAAAATAGAAGAATGTTTGTACCTTACAGGAAGTAGCATGACTGATAAGAAAATGTTTATCTGTCACAATGCATGTGGATGGTGGCATGGGTGAGGCATGTAGAATTATGAAGACAATAACTGTAGTATAGACTAAAATGTTGTTCGGACACGAAAGAAAGAAATATACAAATTACGGTATCAAAGCGTACATGGAAGGGTAATATTAAAATTGGTCTTAAATAAATCTAGTCAGAGGTGCGGACAGAATTAATTTGGCTCAGGACACGGTCCAGTGGCAGGTTCTTGTGGATATAGATCCATCACAGCCGAGAATTTCTTGACGAATGTTCGCTTTTGCATAAAGAATCTGCTCTATAGAGTTAGAGTGTTTTAGACTAACAGTTATGTTAACAGCAGACTTGATTATGAATGAATTTTATAAAATACAATTCTCGACACTAACTTATATAATATTAATTTTTTAATATTGGTCGATACATCATTGACACGCCAGTGAATGGTCGAAATTTTTTTTAAGGTGTGTGAGAGTACATGTAGTTAGAATTCTGCAATCTCGCTTCGCTTCTGGCCCCCGACCATGTCCGAGCCAGTTCTCAAAGACTGGCGTGACAGGGGTTTCCTGTATAAAGTGGCCCTGCAGGTTACGAAGAAACAAATCTCTTTCCGGAACACTGACATTTTGTCTTCAGATTACGAAATCAGGACAGCGCTAGTTCAGGCCGCCACAGATGAAACACTGCCCTGAGCATGTGTTCATTGTCGCAACTGTTCTCTTTGCCGAACCTCTTACTCTCTTGGGGTTGGTTAAAGTAGTTTACAATAGGCAACTAACAAAGAATCATGAATATAATTTTGAGTGGCAACCGATGGGCACGGGATCTCTTCATGACATTACTTAAAAAATATGGTTGCCTGAAAATTTGTTAAGTATTTAAAATACAGTTTTATGAGCAGGTATATAATCACAGTAAGGATATTTCTAAGATGGCTGTTTTTTTGGTTGTATCACCATGTATTCTGGTAGAAGTTTACCAACGTTTAGAGGTCCTTACTGCCTCCATTATCGGGGAGACCGCCCTGGTGATAAAGGCAGCAAGGACCTCTGAAACGTTCGTAAACTACTATCAGAATACATGGCATTACAACCCAGAAGACAACCATCTTCAAATTCACCGCCGTGAAAACCTCAAATTCCACCAAGAATATTTTCGAAGTTGACCGAGATTTATCTTTCTGTCTTAGTCAAAAGATTTTGAAATGTATAATTTGTCTAGAAATCCGAATCATGATTTAACAATGAATTTCTTATTGAGATATTCAACTATCACAGCATTAAAATACGTGGAAGTTCTGTAATTTCATACGATACACTGAAAATGTTAAAACTGGTTTTCTGAGTACAATTCTAAAGATGTGTATTTTTTAATACATTCCATCTGACCAACTCTACGTACGTGTGACGAAAAATACCCATTTGTACAAGTTTTTACTGTTTACTGATCAAAAACATTATTACAACTATATTAAGGTCAATCACTCCATCACCGTAGTAACACATTACAATAGAAACGTAAGAAGAGAAAATTTTCAATTGAATTTCTCTGCTCTCATCTGCATAAAAATTACACTCAAGATTTCACAAGAAATCCTGAGCTTAATCGTACACTTCTTTGTCCGCCAATTTTTCACGATTTCATAGCCACTTCACGACTCTTCATTTAATTGCAGCATAAAACTTCGCGCTGGCGCCTGTTTCTTATACCCCCTGCCGTGCAGAACAAGCAACGAGAGCAGACGGGCAGTGCCGCGCTCGGCGAACCGTGAAACTAGAGAGCCTCCTCCCATCTCCT